TCAGCCCTTCTATGACACTGTCGATTTCTGAAATCTTGTTGTTTATCTTTTGGATTTCTAATTGTTGTTTTTATGTAATTTCTAGTTGTGAACTTATTTTGGCATTTTGTTCCTGCATTATTTTCCTGAATTTTTCTATTTTTTGGTCTGTATTTTCCATGAGTTTGTCTATTTTTTCCTCATTTTTGTTTTCTTTTTGCTTCAACTCTTGGCTAATTCTGAATATTAGAGATTTGAATTCCCTATCAGGTAGTTCTAGTGCTCTTCTTCCACTAGAAAGTCATCTGGTGTTTTATTTTGGACGCCTACTGGAACCATCCTGTCCTGTTTTAGTAAATATTTTGATATTGTCTGCTGTCTTTGGGGCATTCAGTAGTTATTTTTCTCATTTATTGATTGTAGATTTGTTTGTTTCATGCTTTTTTTTTATTTGGCTATGTCTGAGCAGGCGGGCTGTGTGTTCTTTGTTGTTTGCTCGTCTGTGGGCATGATACTTTTCACCTCTTTCTCCAATTGGCAGGGCCAGTCACTCAGATATGGTACAGCACTGCAGGGCTAGCTGAAGAGTAGTTGCTGGCATGGGTTGTTTGTGGCACTTACTACAGCCACCAGGGTTGTTCGGTAATCAGTGCAGGGCAGGTTCCTGTAGGCCATGCCTGTGCTGCTTGGTGGTGTGATATTAAGTGCACGGTGCAGGTAGGCAGGATGGAGGGGGGAGATTGTTATGTGTGGAGCTAAGATGGATGTGGGAGAGAGGAGAGAGGAACAGAGCCAAAAACATACAAACAAAAAAGAGTGCTAGGGGAGCTTGCTGTTGGAGTGGAGAGATGAGAGACTATGAAATAGAGAAAAACAGAAAGGGGAAGAAAAAAAAAAAGAATGAATAAATAAAAATTAGAAAGAAAAGATAACAGCAATGCTCCCAGGGATCCTACCGGTGTGGCTACGAGGTCTGGGGAAGTTGTTCCCAGGTGTGTTGCAGTACAGCCTGGCTAGAAGGCGTAGAGGTATTCAGCGCCAGGTGTTCAGGGAACAGGAAGAGAAGGAAGGTAAAGAGGGATGAGAAACTGAGTAATGAAGAAAGAGAAAAAGGAAAAAAGAGGGAAAAGAAACAAAACAAATTAAAAAAAAAAAAAAAGAACACAAAAAGCCCCTAAAAAACAGAAAGAATAAAACAACCCATGAAAAAAGTGTGCTCATAGATCCCTCTGCATGTCTGCGCAAACTGAGAGGGAGGGTCCCAAGCCATGTAGCACTTCCTGGCCAGAACAGGCTCCCAACTCGAGAAAAAGGAAAGAAAACAAACAGTTCAAAACAAACAAAAGCCATAAGATCCCACCAGCATGGCAGCCCAGACCAGGAAGCTGTTCCACGCTCGAACGGAGGTCCGCAGCGCCTTAGGAAGAAGCAAAGATGACACACAGAGCCAGGTATTTGAGCGAAAGGAGGGGAGGTGGTGATAGGTAAGGAAGAAATCAAAAGCGGAAAAAAACAACACTAGCAGCAAACAAGTGGCACTCAGAGAGCCAGCCAGTGTGGGCGGGTGGAATCCAAGCAGCCGGTGCTTCCCGGACAAGAGACTGGCCACGGGAAGCAGAGGAGGCCGAGTTGGGGTGAAGAAGGATGGGGGGTGGGAAAGTGTATATCACAAATTACTGGTTGTTTTGTCTCCTGCTGGAAGCTCAGTGAAGCTGCTTTCTCGTACCCCCTATTTGCTGGTCTCTGATAGGAGTCCAAGATGGCGGATCCGTGCTGCATTAGCTGATAGAGGACCTCTGCATGAATCTCTCCTCGCTCTCCATTCGCTGTCAGTTTTCTCACTGCATTTGGTGCTTGGCTGAGTTCTTTATCTCTTCATTTTGATGTTTTAGTGTTTCAGGGTTGCTGTTTTCTCTGTTTGGCTTAGTTTTTTGGATCTTTGCTGTGGAGCGACAGCGTGGTGCTTCTGCCTAGAGTGTCGTTTTGCCAGAAGTCCTTCTAGACCAGTACTTTTAAATCTTCTTTTGACCACAACGCACATTAAGAAATACTTCTTATATTGTGACTAATTACACACATACCTACACTCACATTATATGCATATATATCTATATAATTAAAAGTTCCACAAAATTTACCAAGGATCTACATAGAATACTCTGTTCTCTCTTCTACTTTGTTTTAAAAAGTTGGTATCAACCCATTAAATTGATTTCATAACCCTAACAGTGCAGTTTTATAAAACACCATGCTTTTCTTCCATTTTATGGTCCTGAACATAGGATGGGTCTTTTAATTGTAAAGTATATAAGATGTCTGGCTTTCAAGAATTCAATTTTGAAAAATGAGAACTGATTAGTTTTTAGGAATGGTATTTCCCAATTTTGTTGTAATTGCCTAGGCAGAATGCTTTTAGTGCTAGTTGCTAGTTTTTCTCTGATTTGTAAGAGGGTAGTAGAATAAGAAAGATAATATTCTAAATGGTGGTTGCTTTTCTTTCTGCAGCTCTCATGCGTGATGATGAATCTCGTACATCATTAACCTAAGGACCTCACCAATTGGAAGTTATTGTTTTTGCCATCAACTTACCTTTTTGGTCTGGCTCTCTTCCTCAAACAGAGGGAACACCTTTCTTTTCAATTGCATTGTTGCGGAATTAAGCAAATGGCTGATAGTAGTGGTTTGGGTAAAAAATCCACAAAATGCCCCACATGTTCATTTGATACTCAGGAAGATACACATTGTGTATGTTCCTGTAAAATAACGGTTTCTTCAACTTCGTTGGAGCAAGTGTCACCAATATCAAGTGTTGGTAGTTTAGAACAACTAGCTTCATCAGAAAGAAAAAAAGAAAAAATTACCAGCAGAGACACTGCCTCTGGGAAAGATTTGGTAAATATCAAAGATTCTCCATTTCAGCAAATTGACATCCCATTCCCTAACCCCATCCCTATCCCATGGGCCCTTGTCAGCTAATTCATTGCCTTCTTAACTATTAAAGGAGCATTTCTTTCTCTCAGAAGAGGTGAGCAAAGTTGGGTAGTAACTTCTTTTATGACTATTTTCAACTATTTCCCAAATTAATTATTTCTAAGGATCCTGAATAATTAGGAATGTTATTCAGCTTCTTTTTTCTTTTTTAATGGCTTATACAGATATGAATTGTTTCTCAAGTTTAATTAAATTTGAATTTTTGACCATTTTCTTCAGCTCATACAGAATGAAATTTATGGTTGTGGTTAAATATAGAGTGGTTATGGTTTTATTATTTAAGATAATTCCTGGTTATCTAGAGGGAATATCAAATATGCTTCACAAAATTAATTTTCATTAGTTGCATCCACCCTGTAACTACTCATTTAGACCGGTTTGGATATATTATTCACTTGTATAGAGAAGATGCTGTGTGGAATTCTATAGTCAATAGAGTACAACTTTGGAGGGAGAGAGCAGTAAGTTCAAGAAAAGTCAGGGTTCTCTGCTCTCAAAGTTTATCTTTTTCACATATTACCCTCTGCCATTATTTCTCATTTTTATTACTTATGATATAGCCATTGCCATATAGGTGTCTGTGAGTGAGTTGTTAGTATATTAAGTTATTTTGGTTAGAAGCATGTTTTCTGAATGCCTGACCAGTAGTTTTTTAAATGTATAACCTATTTAAGATGGTTGTTCCATTTTGAAACAGGAGTGATTGAGAAAACTATGAAATTACCTTCTCTAGTGATTTTAAAGAATTGGGTAAGTTCTGCTGTTCAGGTTATCATGTAGACTTGCCTGGATTCAGATGACTGGAGTGGATGACTTCTTAAGGTCTCTCTTAGTCTAGTGATCTGATGAATTGTATAGGGTTTAGAATTTGAAAAAGATCGCAAAGTTTCTTATATACAATAAATATCATGGTATACATTAAAAGTTTATCAGATTGTCTAAATTAGGGGTTTTACTTTGTCAACAAAAATGTTACATTTGCAAGTTAATCTTTTTATTCCTTTTTTGTCCAAGGTCTCAAGAACCTCAAATGTAGAGAGAAAAACATCTCAACAACAATGGGGTCGGAGTAACTTTACAGAAGGAAAGGTTCCTCACATAAGGATGGATGATGGAGCTGCTATTCAGGTATACAGAAAGCAAACTGAAGTTGTTTTTACTAGCTACTAGAAACTTTTAGGTTTCTTCTAACTAAATGGTTAGTGGAAAAAATTATTCAAAAATAAGTCTCTAAGAGAAGAAAATTAAAAGTGAATTTATAATTTTTAAATATGTCAAAGTTTTTACTAAATATAATGAAGACTAAGTATTTTCTCTGTTCCTAGAGGACCAAATGGACTTAAATTAAAGTAGAAGGCATTTTTGTTAAACAAAATGGAGAACGTTTTTGGTCTTCAGGTCTTGGCTGTTGCTAAGAGCAATCGTGGAGTCATTGTGTTGATCTCTTGAAGATGCAGAGACCAGATTAGAACCATTCTTTAAATTAAAATGTGTTCCTTTAACATTAAACAGAAGATAAAATCTGTTTGCTTTTCAATTGCATTAATGTTAAATCACTTTTAAAATTTGTTTCAAGAAAAATTTGGAGTGATTCGAAAAACTTCGTGAGAAATTCTTAAAAAGTTTAAATCCCCCCTTTAAATAAATGGCTTGCATTTTAAACAAACAAACAAAAAACTCCACAAATTTACTAAGTTTTAAATTTATCCATAAGAGCTTTTATACAGAAAGCAAAATGTATTCATTGTGAAAAATTAGGAAAATGTATATAGAAAAGTAAAGAAAAAAATAAAAATCATCAATCAGATATAACCAATTTTAACATCTATTACCTTTCCTTCAGTTTTTCTATGCATGTACAAGTTTTATCCTATTTTTTTCAATTTTTCCTGTTTTAAATTATGAAATATTTCAAATATATACATATTTTTAAGAAATAACCTTAGCAGTTATAGTTGAAACTTATCTTCCTCCATAAAATGAATAGGCTTGTTACAAAAATTTTTAACAGTTCAGAAAAATATAAAAGAAAGATGTTACAGTCATCCAAAATTCTACTACCCAGAGATAACTATTCTTAATATTTAGATGAATATCTTTCCATACATCAGTGTAAGCACCCCCACATAAACACAGTTTTATAATGGGATCATATCATACATGCTTTTCATAATCTACCCTATGACATGGACTTCTGTGCCAATAAAATAGATCTACATTGTCACTTTATTGCATCCTCTTAAAATTATTAGAAACAAGAATTCATTTCACTCTTATTTTTTACCACTATGTGATACCAAAGCAATTAGTTGAAGCGTAAAAAGATCAGTTGGGCAGTTGGGCTATTCCTTCACCTTTTCCTCATTTTTAAAACCTGACTTAAATGGATTTTGCCTTTGTTTTCTCCCCATGCTGATCTCAGAAGCCATCCCTTTCAAGCCAACTTTTTCCCTTATTATTCAAGTATTTAGTGAAGAATAGTCTCCAGCTCCAATGGCATATTGTTGTTTTTTTTTTTTTTCTGGAACTTATGATTTTATGACTTAAGTAATAATTTTATCTCTTTAGTAGATTATAAATTCTGAGAAAACAGGAATTATGTTTTATTCATCCTTATAACCATCAAAGTGTATATAATATCTAAGGAAGTTCTAGCATATTGAAGGCGAACATTTCCCTCTTTCTTTTTTTCCCCCATTCACTCAATGTCATGGATTAAATTGTGTCCCCACAAAATATCTGTCAGTTTGGCTAGGCCATGATTCCCAGTATTGTGTGATTGTCCACCATTTTGTCATCTGATGTGATTTTCCTATGTGTTGTAAGTCCTACCTCTGTGATGTTAATGAGGTGAAATTAGCAGCAGTTATGTTAATGAGGCAGGACTCAATTTACAAGATTAGGTTGTGTTTTAAGACAATCTCTTTTGAGATACAAAAGAGAGAAGCAAACAGAGAGATAGGAGGACCTCATACCACCAAGAAATAAGAGTTAGAATAGCACGTCCTTTGGACCCTGGGTCCCTTCACTGAGAAGCTCCTAGTCTAGAGGAAGATTGTTAACAAGGACCTTCCTCCAGAGCTGACAGGGAGAGAAAGCCTCCCCCTGGAGCTGGCACCCAGAATTTGGACTTCTAGCCTCCTAGACTATGAGAGAATAAATTTCTGTTTGTTAAAGCCATCCACTTGTGGTATTTCTGTTATAGCAGCACTAGATGACTAAGACAGTCAGTAAGCATATTTTGCCTACACAGTCTAAGAGGTAGCCCCTTTAAAAGGTACAAAAGAAACAGCTCCTTAAGGAGCTTGTAGACCATCTTGAGAGAAAAAAACAAGCCAAAATGTTTATAAGCAAGCGAGTAATAGTAGTGTTTGAGGACCAATGTATACATATTGAAGGAAGTAAAAAAAGAAAAACAGTCACCATGGTGATTGGATGGAAGCCCTTTATGAAGGAGATGAGTAGTTGGTCACTGAATCTTCTCTTAAGAAAATAAGAATCTGAGCGGTAGAAAATGGGAGCATTAATAGTTAAGTTGTCTGTTGTATGTTGAAGGTGGAAGTGGTCACATAGAGACAGAGTAGCATCTCAAGGGAGGACTTTGGTGGGCTGACTCAACAGAGGTTTCACCCAGTAAATGACATTGCCTCAGCTTGGCTCCTGTGTTCTGGTCTCCATGCTCAGTGGGTCTAGAAACTCATATCTTCTTCATGCTCTGGAGTTGATTTGGATTAGAGAGGCTGACTCTCCCCAACCAAATTCACACGAAATGAAAGTATTAATGAGTTACCTGTTTATTGTTTTACAATATGAACTAGAATGATAGTGTTGACAAGATTAGTGCATTCTCTTTGTAAGCAGAAGTTAAATTATAAGCAGAAGGAGTCTTGGTCTGGATTGTAGTATTATGAGTGATTTTTGCTTTCTTCTCAGTGATGATCTATGTGTTATAATTTTTGTCATATATTACTTTTTCTAAAACAAAAGGAATAAGTGATTTTTAATAGAAACAATAAATATAAAGAAAAAGAGTGTTACTTGGTAAGCAGGGAACTACTTGTTCAGTGGTGAATAGGTAGGTGTTGATTTTATAGTATAGCTCTGATTTTGTAGTATAGCTCTCAGAGTTCTTGGAGTAATTTTTTGGGTCAATGCATTGTGTATGTGTGTATATAAATATTCCATCCCTCCTTTTTCTTATGAAGATAATCTACATTAATATTGTAGTTTGAAAGAGGTTTAATTATTATACTTTTGAACTTCTGTACATTTCTCCATTAGAATCTTTATGATTTTCTTCCAAAGGACATTTAATGAAATTCATCAAAACTTATTTTTGGTAAACTAAGATGTACTTATTAATATTGATGCAAACATGTAGTGTCTTCTGTTTGGCTTTACCCTGGAGCAGAATCTCTCTTCCCTGGAGCTGATATCTGTCAGCATTATGTATTTGTTTTTAATATCTTATGAACAACAAAGGGACTTTTATTTTTCTCCAGGAATTCTATACTTTTGGAAGAATATTGGGACAAGGGAGCTTTGGAATGGTCATTGAAGCTATAAACAAGGAAACAGAAACTAAGTGGGCAATTAAAAAAGTGAATAAAGAAAAGGTAAGGGTTATTAACAGCATCATACAGAGGGCAGTGCAGTTGGGTGTAGGCAGTACAGCTTTTCACACTAACACAAACTGCCTCTGACCCTGAGGGCCAGGCCTGGGTCATTCCCCTGGGGTCTTCTGAGAAGTGACCAGTTCTTGAACTCAAGTAGACAAGTGTTATCTGGAAAAACCAAGTAGAAGGATAAGCTAATACATAACCAATATAACCAAATATAGGTAAATTTTACCAGAGTGAGTTGAAGGTAAGGGCTGTTCATAAGTATGTATAGATGTAGGGTTGTATGCTAAAGATGTCTTAGCTAGTTATAAGCCCTGGTAGTCTCTCCTGATGTTGTTCTGATATACTTTCTCCCATACATGAAGTAGTCATGAGTCAGAATTGACTTGACAACATCTTCTCCTTTCATTTGATTTCCTATTTCCTCACTGTTGGTTAATTCTCTTTTTATTCATCCTACCTGCTTTTTCAGTTTGAAACACTTTTTTCCAAGTATCTTCTGTCCTGTTTTCTTGTATCCACTGTATTCCTCACTGGATTTCCTCTTGGAGTGAAAAATGATTAGGCTTCTCTTTAAGGTAGAGTCTAAGATTACTCACCTCAGGCTTTACACCTGATCATTTCATCAACTCTTTTTAAAATTTCTGTCCCTGGAAAAAAACCAAATGGCAACATTCTGGTGTTCTTTCCTTGGATTTTTGATAGTAAATATTACATTTATAAAATGAAACAGAAGATTTTATTGCATTCTTTAAAACAAACCGTACAAATTATAGTATAGATCATCTCTCCCTAAAGTTTAATAAAGCAATATATAAATCTTAATAAAGGGAGATCCAGAAGCCTTTATAGGATTCTTTAGAATTCTAGAAGGATGGTAATACCTGGGATGTTACTTCCTTTGCCTCTTTGATATCAAGTGGAGTTAGGGGTTAAGTTTTAGAGTTTTACAGACAGGGTACCTATGTGCGCTTTAGAAATTGGTAATCTTCCACAGACATATTGATGCTGAGAATTTATAGGACAGTAAGATAGTAGAATAAATTTACATAGTAAGTATATGAATTGGACAACATATTACCACATTATGTACAGGTCAGGCCATTTGCGAGGAAGGAGGAACAGAGAGAGTTGAGATGGAAATGAAGAGAAGTTGTGGGAACTTTACATATCTAGACTATACAGGAATCCACTTTTCACAGTCACTCTTTCTCTTGACCCTCTAGGATAACCTTAAGATACGACTTTTACCCTATATGAGTGGGGCATAGTGGGATGGACAGTATCCTATTCATTCCTGTGATGGTAATGGTTGAAGGGTAAAGGTAATTGAAAGCAGGGATGACCCTAGGTAAAATTTTAACTAGGTAAAGTTTGCCTTATGATCTATCCATTTCCACTCTTTTAAAAACCAGTACATACTCTCCCAAACTTACCACACTGGGGGACTAGGCTCTTTATTATTCCTTTCAGGGATATTTTTATGTGCAAATAAGACCCATAAATGAGGACAATGCTTATTCTCAAATAATGGCTGTTTAGGTATCAACAGGGGTGCTGATTTGGGGTGTCAGCAGTGGTGGGAAAGGTAGAGAAAGCCCTTCTAAAATTTCTTAGATGACATTGTAGACAATCAATTACCTATTTCCTGAATGAAGACCCTGTGCTCCCTGTGGTATTCCTGCCTTTACCTTTTGCTCTCAGATATAGTTAAGACTTAGATGTTAGGAGATGAAGTTGGGGTGAGGTTAGTCTGCAGCAAGAGCTTTCTCTTTCTCTCTTGAGGTTACTTTTTGAGGTCACGTGGACCAGGAACTGACATAATGCAGGGCCAAGTGTAGGATCTTATTGCCCATGTTTCTTCTGCATTTTTTGTATGTATCAAAGCAAAGTGAAAGAAAAGAACAAGAAAAGAAGAACATTTTGTTTTTATCTTTTCCAGTTGATGGCTGTGGCAAATAGATTTTTGTTGATACTATGCTAGCCTCAAAGGATCAACATGATTTTGGAGGAAATATAAAAAAGTATATTAAAAATTATAATAATTTTGATAGGGGACAGAGACTATGTTGTAGTTAATTTCTAGAAATAGTCCAAGAAACAGATGTGGTTTGAGGCCAAATCATATATAACTTAGAAATGGGCAAAGGAAAAAAAAGGCATAATTTATTCTGATGATAGGAATAAATTGCATGTTGTCACTGAAAAGAAATTGTTTAAGAAAATACGGGAAAAATATATAAAGTAACTTTTATATTGAGGCACATAGGAGTGACATTCAAATGCGAAATCTATGTTTCCTCATTAATTAAGGCCGGAAGCTCTGCTGTGAAGTTACTTGAACGGGAGGTGAACATCCTAAAAAGTGTGAAACATGAATACATCATACACCTGGAACAAGTGTTTGAGACACCTAAGGTAAAGCTCTATCAGGTGCTGCATTTTGAAAGTTATTATTACAAAATGAACATTATTCCATTCTGAAGTAATCCCTTTGGGACACAGTTGTTCATATCATTGGCATGAGTCTGACACTGGAGATTGATGAGAGCATTCTGAAGGACTTTAATTATTGATCGTATAATTAGGTCTCTTTAGTGATATTTCTGGGTGGTATGTTGAAAAAAATGTTCAAAGTTGAAACAATTTGACACACAACCAAATAGTGATTAGAGCTTCCTTAGAGGTGGCTTTCGTTTGCTTTGCTTTTTAGTTTCTGTTAGTCTCTTGGAATGTCATAATTTTGCAAGATTAACTTCATAATCAAATTAGAATGGGTGTATTCGGCACTGTGGAGAAGATATTTTGTCCTTTTTTCTTAAAAGCATGTTTTATCTTCTTTCTTCCCTAGATGTTATAATTCTTCTCTTTATTTCTCTGTAATTTTCATACAACATTGTTCAGAAGCCTGGGTTATTTACTGTTGTGCCTCCATATTGTTTACTGCCTGTAGGCTTGAGTATTTCTCTGCTTGGAGGTAGTATAATCTAGTAGTTAAGCATGTGGACTCTAGGGTCAGATCGCCTGTGGGATGGAATCCAGGCTCCACCACTTATTAGCTGTGATACCCTGGACAAGCTACTCAATCTCTCTGTACTTCAGCTTTCTCACCTATAAAATGGGTTTAATAATAATGTCTACCGCATTTGGTTGTTGAAGAGTTAAGTGCAATAATGGATAGAAAGCACCTGTCGCATTAAATGTTAGCTATTGCTCTGTTTCTTTTCCAGTCACTAAGAGAATAATAGTCAATTTGAGTTACGCATTTTGCTTGATAAGTATTGAAAACCATGGTTATCCTTCATGAGTTTGGTATATGGCAATGATGCCAAAAGTCTTCTCTCTCCTTTTCAGCCTTAGAGTTGTAATTTCTTTTATCCCAAATCTAGAATAATTTTCTCTTTATCACTAGTTTTAAAGAATTTGATTAGTATGTGACTTGGTGTAGTTTTCTTCATGTTCTTGTACTTGGGGTTCATGGAGCTTCTTGGATCTGTGAGTTTATGATTTTAATCAAATTTAAGAAAATTTTGGCCATTATTTCTTCAAATATTTTTTTCTGTCTTTCCCTCTTTGGGGACTTCAGGTACACATGTTAGATTCCTTGATATTATCCACAGCTTACTGATGCTCTGTTTGCTTTTTCAGTCTTTTTCTCTCTGTTTTATTTGTATAGTTTCCACTAGTGTGTCTTCAGATTCAATAATCGTTTTTTCTGCACAATCTAATTTGCTGTTAATCCCTTCCAGTGATTTTTTTTTTAAATTGTAGGCATTGTATTTTTCATCTCTAGAAATTTGATTTGGACCTTTTTTTATATCTTCCATGTCTCTACTTAACATGCTCAATCTTTCCTCCTCCTTCTTGAATAAAGTTATAATAACTGTTTAAATGTCCATTTCTACTAATTCTATCATGTGTGTCATTTATAGGTTGATTTCGATGTATTAATTTTTTTTTCTCTTCGCTATGGATTGTATTTTCCTGCTTCTTTGTATTCTTGCATAAAAATGGCATGGCAGCATCAGACCTCATCTGACTTCACAAGGGGGAAGAGAGAGAATCAAGATCATCAGCCCAAGGCTGATTCCTGTGAGGTGGAGGTTAGATACACCTCTACCCTCCCACCTTTTTTTACCAATTCTGACACCAGCCTTTCCTCCCACAGCACTCTCTTCTTCTCTGTTGGGTTCGATAATTCATTGCATTAGTCACACAGAACTCACAGACCACACTCACAGTTATGGGGTATATTGGAAGTAACAGGTACAATTCAGAATGCAGTTCTTCAATCAGAACAGCTTCTTCTCGGCCATGCTGAGCTCAGCCCCTTGGCCCCTTGGTCCCTTGGCCCTCGGCTCTCTGCTCAGTCTCTGCCCTGCTCAGGCAAGTGTTACAAAGCTCTTTAGCTCTGCCAGTAAGTGCTCAGAGGCATCCCAATCCGCCAGTAAGCCTCAGCCTGAAGGCGCTCAGCTCTCTTGCTCTGTGGGTCAGCACGCCCAGTGTAGCTGTGGGTTGGCATGCCTGCTGTTTTTCTGCTGCTGGACTCTGCTATGCTTGCTTCCGCTTCTCCCTGTTTCATGCCATTTCTGGTGTTACAGGTCTTTGTCTCCCAGGTCAAGGAGGTTCTTTCTCAGCTTAGGGACCCAGGGTCCAAAGGATGTGCTCTGCTCCTGGCTCTTCTTGATGGTAGTGAGGCCCCCTCTTTTCTGCCTCTGAGATTGGCTCCCTTTAAGCCTAGTGGATAGCAAAACTGGCCAGTCCCCTCCTTAGGTTTCCATACACATTATTTATATGTTCTCACCCCAACACGGGTTCCATGCCCCTTATTTGCATTATTAGCAAGCTGTCTGTTCCTATTGGTGGACCGTAGGCACCTTATTTGCATAGTCCAAGTCAATCATTTTGTGGGAGTCACAAATACCATGGCTAGAAGAGCTGTATTAAGTAATTCACTGCACTGCAACTTGTTAATTTTTTATTGGATACTAGATGTTGTGAAATTTTTCTTATTGGATGCTGGATAATTTTATATTCTTATAACTATACTTTGTTCTAGGATACAGTTAAGCTACTTAGAAACAGTTTGATACTTGCAAAGCTTGCTTTAAGCTTCATTGGCTGTAACTAGAGCAGCCTTTAGTCTAGGAATAATTTTCCCCTACTGCTGAGGCAAGACCCTTCTGACTACTCTACCCAGTGTCCCTTGAATAGCAAGATTTTCCACTCTGGTGGGAACACAGACTATTCCTGGCCATGTGTAAGTTCCAGCAATTGATTGTTCCCTCTGCTCCTTTCGCATGGCTCTTTTCCCAGCTTTGGGTAGTTTTCTCATACACATCTGCTAAAAACTTGAGAGGGAACCCTCTGCAAATTTCTGGAGCTTTCTCTCTGTATGTCTTTCTCCTCCTTCATTCTCTGCTCTGTGAACTTTAGTTATCGTGGCCTTCCTGGATTCCCAGCTCCATCCTCAATTTAGGGATATTGCTGGACTCTGCTTGGATACCCCCTCTCTGCTCTGTGGCCTGGAAGCTCTCCAGACCATAAGCTGGGATAATCGGTAAGCTCACTTCATGTGTCTCCCCTCTATCAGGGATCACAGTCTTCTGCTGCCTGATATCCAATGTCTGATAATTGTTGTTTCATATATTTTGTCCATTCTTTAGTTGTTTCAGGTGGGAGCTTAAATCTGGCCTCTGTTATTCCATCTTGGTCGCAAGTGGGAGTCCAAATCTAGAATATTTTTAAGGCAAAGGAAATCTTCATCTATGATTGCCGTTTTTATGTATTGTTTGCCCTTAATTTCACATAGACCAGATCTGCTGTCCCTCACAAATGCATAGACCTCCCATCTTAAGGATTAATGGAAACTGCTGCCTGATTGGTTAGGCCGTGGTGATTGGTGCTGATCATTTAGTCTGACAATGCCGATTTGTTGTGAATCCAAATGTTCTCCAGGTCTACATAGTTTTTTCTAATAATTGCAAAAAGAACTTATTTTGTAACTTTTAGTGATATAGCTTTTATCAACTTGTTGATGTTGTGCTGTTAGGTGCCGTTGAGTTGATTCCAACTCATAGCCACCCTGTGTACAACAGAACGAAACACTACCCATTCCTGTGCCTTCCTCACAATCGTTTTTATGCTTGAGCCCATTGTTACAGCCACTGTGTCAGTCCATCTTGTTGAAGGTCTTCCTCTTTTTCACTGACCCTCTACTTTACCGAGCATGATACCCTTCTCTAGGGACTGATCCCTCCTGATAACATGTCCAAAGTATGTGTGACGAAGTCTCGCTGTCCTTAACTTCTGAGGAGCATTCTGGCTGTACTTCTTTCAAGACAGATTTGTTCATTCTTTTGGCAGTCCATTGTATAATCAATATTCTTCGCCAACACCACAATTCAAAGGCATCAGTTCTTCTTCGGTCTTCCTTATTCATTGTCCAGCTTTCACATGTGTATGAGGCGGTTGAAAACACCATGGCTTGTATCAGGTGCACCTTAGTCTTCAAGGTGACATCTTTGCTTTTTAACACTTTAAAGTGGTCTTTTGCAGCAGATTTGCCCAATGCAACGCGTCTTTTGATTTCTTGACTACTGCTTCCATGGGCATTAATTGTGGATCCAAGTAAAATGAAATACTTGACAACTTTAGTCTTTTCTTCATTTATCATGATTTTGCTTCTTGATCCAGTTGTGAGGATTTTTGTTTTCTTTATTTTGAGGTGTAATCCATACTGAAGGCTGTAGTCTTTGAGCTTCATCAGTAAGTGCTTCAAGTCCTCTTCATTTTCAGCAAACAGGATTGTGTCATCTGCGTAATTCAGGTTGTTAATGAGTCTTCCTCCAATCCTGATTCCCCATTCTTTTTCATATAGTCCAGCAGCTTCTCGGATTATTTGCTCAGCATACAGACTGAATAGGTGTGGTGAAATGATACAACCCTGATGCACACTTTTCCTGACTTTAAACCACTCAGTACCCCATGTCCAAACAACTGCCTCTTGATCTATGTACAGGTTCCTCAGAGCACAATTAAGTGTTCTGGAATTACCATTCTTTGCAATGTTATCCATAATTTGTTATGATCCACATAGTCAAATGCCTTTGCACAGTCAATAAAACACATGTAAACATCTTTCTGGTGTTCTCTGCTTTTAGCCAGGCTACATCTAATTTCAGCATTGATATCCCTCTTTCCACATCCTCTTCTGAATCTAACTCGAATTTCTGGCAGCTCCCTGTTGATGTACTGCTGCAGGCGCTTTTGAATGATCTTTAGCAAAATTTTACTTGCGTGTGATATTGATATTGTTCGATACTTTTTGCATTCAGTTGGATCACCTTTTCTTTGGAATAGGCATAAATATGGATCTCTTCCATCTGGTTGGTCAGGTAACTGACTTCCAAATTTTTTGGAATAGACAAGTGTCATGGTTTGAATTATGTCCCCCAAAAAATGTGTGTATCAATTTGGCTAGGCCATGATTCCTGGTACTGTGTGATTTTCCCGTATGTTGTAAACCTGCCTCTATGATGTTAATGAGGGAGGATGGGTGGCAGTTGTGTTAGTAGGGCAGGACCTGATCTACAAGACTGGATTGTGTCCTGAGGCAATCTCTTAAGATATAAAAGACAGAAGTAAGCAGAGAGTTGGGGACTTCATACCATCAACAAAGCAGTGCCAGGAGCAGAGCGCTTCCTTTGGACCAGGGGTCCCTGCGCGGAGAAGCTCCTAGTCTGGGGGAACACTGATGAGAAGGGCGAGAGAGAGAAAGCCTTCCCCTGGAGCTGACACCCTGAATTTGGACTTTTAGCCTACTTTAACTGTGAGGAAGTAAACTTCTCTTCATTAAAACCATCCACTTGTGGTGTTTCTGTTATAGTACCACTAGATGACTAACACAACAAGTGAGCACTTCCAGCCCTGTGTCTGTTTGTTGAAACATCTCAATTAGTATTCCATCAATTCCTGGAGCCTTGTTTTTCACCACTGCCTTCAGTGCAGCTTCGACCTCTTCCTTCAGTACCATTGGTTCCTGATCATATGCTACCTCCTGAAATGGTTGAATGTCAGCCGTTTCTTTTTGGTGCATTGACTGTGTATTCCTTCCATCTTCTTTTGAAGTTTCCTGCATTGTTTAATATTTTCCCCGTAGAATCCTTCAATATTGCAACTAGGGGCTTGAATTTTTTCTTCAGTTCTTTCAGCTTGAGAAATGCCGAGCGTGTTCTACCTTTTTGGTTTTCTAACTCCAGGTCTTTGCATATGTCATTATAATACTTTGTCTTCTTGAGCTGCCCTTTGAAATCTTCTGTTCAGCTCTTTTACTTCATCATTTCTTCATTTGCTTTAGCTACTCGATGTTCAAGAGCCAGTTTCAGAGTCTCTTCTGATATCCATTTTGATCTTTTCTTTCTTTCCTCTCTTTTTAATGACCTTTTGCTTTCTTCATGTATGATGTTCTTGATGTCATTCCACAACTCATCTGGTCTTCAGTGAGTGTTCAACATGTCAAATCTGTTCTTGAGATGGTCTCTACATTCAGGTGGAATATACTCAAGGTCGTACTTTGGCTCTCGTGGACTTGTTCTAATTTTCTTAAGCTTCAGCTTGAACTTGCATATGAGCAATTGATGGTTGGTTCCACAGTCGGCCCCTAGTCTTGTTCTGATGGATGATATTGAGCTTTTCCATCGTCTCTTTCCACAGGTATAGTCAATTGGATTCCTGTGTGTTCCATCTGGTGAGGTCCACGTGTATAGTCACTGTTTACGTTGGTGGAAAAAGGTATTTGAAATGAAAAAGTCATTGGTCTTGCAAAATTCTATCATGCGATCTCCGACATTGTTTCTGTCACCAAGGCCATATTTTCCAACTACTGATCTTTCTTCTTCGTTTCCAACTTTTGCATTCCAATCACCAGTAATTATCAATCCATCCTGATTGCATGTTCGATCAATTTCAGACTGAAGAAGTTGGTAAAAATCTTCAATTTCTTTATCTTTGGCCTTAGTAGTTGGTGCATAAATTTGATTAATAGTTGTATTAACTGGTTTTTCTTGTAGGCGTTTGGATATTATCCTATCACTGACAGCTTTGTACTTCAGGATAGATCTTGAAATGTTCTTTTTGACGATGAATTCAACGCCATTCCTCTTCAAGTTGTCATTCCCGGCATAGTAGACCATATGATTATCTGATTCAAAGTGGCCAGTCCAGTCTATTTCAGCCCACTAATGCCTAGGGTGTTGATATTTATGCATTCCATTTCATTTCTGACGATTTCCGATTTTCCTAGATTCATACTTTGTACATTCCACATTCCCATTATTAATGGATATTTGTAGCTGTTCCTTCTCATTTTGAGTCATGCTACATCAGCAAATGAAGGTCCTGAAAGCTTGACCCCCTTCATATCATTAAGGTCGACTCTACTTCGAGGAGGCGGTTCTTCCCCAGTAGTATTTTAAGTGCCTTCCAACATGAGGGGCTCATCTTCCAGCACTATATCAGACAATGTTCCACTGCTATTTATAAGGTTTTCACTGGCTAAATCTTTTCAGAAGTAGACTGCCAGGTCCTTACTCCTAGTGTGTCTTAGTCTGGAAGCTCAACTGAAACCTGTCTGCCATGAGTGACCCTGCTGGTATTTGAGTACTGGTAGCATAGCTTCCAGCATCACAGCAACACACAAGCCCCCACAGTAAGACAAAGTGACAGACTCGTGGGGGTTTATCAACTTACATACTTAAAATTGACATCAGTTTATATCATAAGTACTGCTGATGCAACCTTTCCTTCTAAATATTCCACTTACCATTTCATATATCAGTGATCCCTCCAGTGCTGTCAATGGAGAAAATATGGCCTAGTTCAAAAGCTTATTTGCATGGTAGCCTTTGCAGAATTCTGAAGTTACTTGTGAAATTCGAAAGCATATGGAGATTCAGGGAGTCAGAGTTGTGGCTATAGAAGAAAGGTATGAACCTTCTCTTTGTTTTCATGCTTGCTGATTGAACTCAGACATTGCATTAGTAGTTGTAAAAAGAGAATCAGACTCAAATCTTAAAAACAACAACAGAAGTATAGCAGCACAGGATAGAATGGAAATATGGTGGATAGTCTGGACAGTAATAGGTATGAAAAAGACTTATTATTTTAGTTGGCTGTGAATTCTGTTTGACTCAATAGGCGACCTGACTGTTAGAATATCTAAAGTGATCTTAATATGCATCAATAGAAACAGCAAATATGAAAGAGACCTTTCATCCATGACTTCTTACCATTCACATTCAATTAGTTACTAAATCCCACTGTTTCTTCCTTTGAGGTATTTTTCACATCTTTTTGTTCTCCTCCATTCTTTGCCTCACATCTCCCCTCTATAACTTGTTGTTGTTGTTAGCTGCTGTTGAGTTGGCCCCTGACTTATGGCGATCCCATGTGTTACAGAGTAGAGTTACTCCATAGGGTTTTCTTGGCTATACTCTTTATGGAAGCAGTTCCGCAGAACTTTCTTCCATGGAGCTGCTGGGTGGTTTTAAACCATCAACCTTTTAGGTTAGCAATTGATCGCAAACTGATTGCCCCACCCAGGCTCCTTCTTCCTGTCAGCACAGTACAGCCTGTTAGCCAAATCTGGCCTACTGCCTGTTTTTGTGTGGCCCATGAGCTAAGTATTTTACATTTTAAATGGTTGAAAAAAAACTTAAAAGACTATTTCATGACATGTGAAAATTACATGCAAGTCAAATTTCAAAGCCCATAGATAAAGTTTTGTTAGAACACAGCTATGCTCATTTGTTTATTGTATATGGCTGCGTTTGTACTACAACAGCAGAGTTGAGTAGTTGTGACAGAGACAGAATGGCTAGCAAAACTGAAAAGATTTACTGTCTGGCCCTTTACAGAAAAAGTTTGCTGACCACTACTCTACACTACTATTAGAGTATTCATTTGGAAATGCAAAATTGATAATATCACACACTTCTCTCCCCCATCCTGACACCAGCTTTAAAATCTTCCATGGCTCCTTGTTGCATATGGGAAAAAAAAATCCAAACTAGTTAGCATGATATCCAAGACTTTTTCAGTCCTGGCACCAACCTATTCTTTCTAGCCTCACTTCTCACCACTCCACTCATCTCCTCCCCACCAAGCTCCCAATGCTATTAACACTGAGGTATTTGTTAGTCTTTTAACAGCCAGTGCTGTTTCATGCTTTGGAGTTTTTGCAAGTACCGTGTGCTCTGCCTGCTCTTCCCCACATCCTCTGCCCATAAATCCCTATTCAGACATCCAGACCTGGCTCCAGAGTCACCTCCTCAGGGAATGTTCTTCAGGCAGAGGCTACCCTCCTCTGCAGCCCCACGGCATTTTGGGTATGCCTCTTCTATTAGCACAACTGCCACTATACTGTGAGCTCCTTGAAGGCAGAGTCTATGTCTTATGCTTATTTGTTCCTCTAGTATGCAACACAGTATCTTGTACAAAACAGACAATAAATATTTTGAATGAATAAATTAATGACTAAGATTGTGGTAAGATTTCCACTATGTATATGTAATATATAACATTTTTAAAGATCTCCAACTATATGATTTGTCTTTTTTTTTGTATCTATATAATGCCAGCGAATGTACCTTGTGATGGAGCTTTGTGAGGATGGAGAACTCAAAGGAATTCTGGATAGGAAAGGGCATTTCTCTGAGACTGAGACAAGGTGGATCATTCAGAGCCTTGCATCAGCTATAGCATATCTTCACAATAAGGGTAAGAAGAGGATCATCCAATGCACTGACTCCATGAATGCAGATAACACTTTTATTTAAGAGTAATTGTATTTAAGATTCATAGTCACATAAGTAATGCCTGATAACAGATATTATTTTTAAAAACCATATTTAACAATTATTCTAATTGCTTTGTATTCTTTAATGTTACTGTTTGCTGCTTTCCCCTATACTCCTCCCTTTTTTTTTCCATTGAAGATTAGTTTGGCCTACATGTGACTTTAGAATTTTCTCATTTTACAAATGAGAAAAAACTTTGTTCCGGACAGGTGATGTGACATGGTTAGGTGTGGCAGAAGTGACAGTGGAATCCGGTGGTTCATTTAGCACACATTCACTAAGCACCTGCTGCATTGTTGGTTCTCGAGCTATCAGGATTAAAAGACAAGGCCCCTTACTCTCAAGGAATTCAGGCTGGTGGGAGGTTGAGCATGGAAGCTATCATAATTCAACATGATAATTTCTCTAACAGAGAGACATATAAGGTCCAAAGAGCATAAATGACTCATTTGTTTTGGAAAGTCAGGGAAGAATTCACACAGGAAGCAAAGATTGAACTGAGGAATACAAACTCAGAAAAAAACGAGGGAGCTTTCCGGGTAGAGGTAAATTTTTTTGCAAAGATAGGGAACTGAAAGCTGAATATTATACTAATGTCATTTCTTCCACATTAAGCTGTAAATTTAGTACAATTCCAAACAAAATCTTAACAGAACTTTTCATGGAATTTGATAAAGTTATTCTGAAATGGGTGAGAATAGCCAAGAAGACAAGGAAAAAGAAGAACAGTGGAGGCTGGGGCTTGCCCTACCAAGCATCAAAATATAAAGTTATGTTTATGTAAGAAGAGAAAAGCAGAGCAATAGAAACAATAAAGATTACAAAAATAAAGGGTGGGAACTATGTAAGGGAACTACAGACGGTTAGGTATAATTGCCATTCCAGGGCTCATTCAACTACATTTCCCCCAACAATTATACAAATAACGTTTTAAGCTTATGGAAATGTTCCTTATGGATATGAACTGAATTAGTTATTTGCAAAAGAAGTTTGGTACATGATTATTTGCATGTACATAAAAATCCTACCTGAGCTCTGATGTGTTCAACTGGAGATTTGTGTCTCATGGGTTTTTGTTTCATTGTTTTTTATTTTTAACATATAAAAAGTAGGAAAATGTTTGTTGATGTAGAAAAATATACTGAAATAAGTACTATAGTTTGTGTATGTGTAATCCAGTTGCAGTATGTTAAATGTCCATATTGGCAGCAAACATAAGCACAGAAGTAAAGAAGTAATTGTCTATTTGAAGACCTAGGGATATGGAAAATGTTTCTAGGCTTGTGACTAAGATTATCTCCCTCATCCTGGGAATACCTAACCTTGGGCAGGATCCTTCTCCACACTCACCAGGCCACTCTTCAGGGAGAGCAGGCAGTGGGGCAGTGGGGGAATGGGTAGAGATGAGGGAATCAAAGAAAAATGGCTCTTTCAGGTAAGGGCAGAATTACACTTGGCCCTCCTCAAATTTTCCAACATTGGACATTAATTTGTCAAATATACTTACTTCTTTTATTTGTGTTCCTTCTAATTATTTTCCCATTATTGATTTCATTTGATTTGTTGTTTATTTTCTTGGTAGATATAGTACATAGAGATCTAAAACTGGAAAACATAATGGTTAAAAGCAGCTTTGTTGATGCTAACAATGAAATGAACTTAAACATAAAGGTAAGATATGAGAGATGGTGGTAAGTATTTGCCTATAAACAGTTTGATAGCAAAGTCAGAAGGTACGTCCTCTTTTTAGATACATATTGTTAGTTTTTGAGCAGTCAGAATATAAATGGTTTCTGTGAAAAAAAATTTCACAAAAGAGGTTGTAACTAATAAGAATAACTTTACAAGTTAAATGGTTTTATTGAATGCTTTTTTAAAGTACATATTCATTTGGATACTTCTAAATCATTAGTTAATAGCAAGCAAACAGATGCTCTGAATTCTAATTAATTTCAAAATTATGCTTGGTAATTTGATGTAAATGTGTTATAGATTTAGAGAAAAGCACACCTACGCTGTGCCTTTGACTGTACTGAAGTCTGTATTCCTCACAGAAAAATTTCCTAGGTATTAATATTTATGTCCTAAATACAAGTAATGTGCCAAATGTTTATTCTTGAAGATTTTATTCAAATTAAATGTTCCTTAATGTCAAATAAATGATAGAATATATTATTTATTACTTAGCACTTTAATAGTGGCTGCTTCAAAATATATGAATGTGTTAATTTAGGAATAAAATGTTGTCTGTGAATAACTCTCTCTATTGCAGAAACTAAATCCCTATGTAATATAAATAGGTTTAATAGCATTGTTGTTTTACCAGAGTAAATGTTCTTGAACAGTTTCATTATAAACTCCATGCGGGCAGGAATTGTGCATATCTTATTCACTGTTGTACCTGGAGTAGTGCCTGGAACATAATATGTGCTTAATTAACATTTGGTGAATGAAGGAATAAATGGTCTCCAGAGAATTTAATTGAATTGTAAAACTTTTTTTATCATTGATAGCTGTATAAATTTTCTGTGGAGAAAGATGTATCATAATACTCCAAGTGGAGTATTTGTGCAAACTCCTGGAGAAATTGTTTCATCTATTTAGAGTAATAGTGACATCATGTGTTAATAGGCACATTTTCTTACTCCATAAAGCACTGGAAACTTTGCATTTAGTGGCTGTGCACCAAGAGCCTATCTTTGGTTGTTTGCTCAATAAATGTACCTATTTTTCTGCTTTCAGCCCAAGCCTGTTCCAACTTGGGAGACAAGACCAAGAGCACATACTGAATGTTTAATGACCAAATGTTTAATGACCAGGATTTAGAACTGAGCAGAAAGACTGCAGTTACAGCAGTAGGCCTCCAGTGTATTTGTAACTGTGTGTTTTTTTCCCGTTAATTTGCTTCTCGTAGTTTTTAACAGTGTAGTAATTATTGTAATTAGTATACTCTGGAAACACGAAGGAAATAATAATAAAGGAAACTATAAAAAATAACGGAGTTCAGTGAATACTGACAAACATAATGATTGTGTTTTAAGGTGCTTTAAACTGGGACGTAGCTTAAGTGTGAGAATAACAGATGATAAACATACTAAGGCCAGAATATATTTTACAATGAAAGAACTTAAAAAACCCAGACTTTATCTGAAAAAAGTTAAATGCCTTCTTTCAAGATGCTACTTTCTATGCTGAACTGATGCATTTAATTAGAGGGCATGAACAATCAATCTCTTGAGTATTTTCTCAAGATTTGAGGAACCAAGCTTCCCTTTACCAAGTTTCTTCTCGACACAGAGGGGTGAGTGGAGAGGGAAAAGCCAGGTCCTTATTAGTAACACATGTAAAGACACTCTCCTCACCTCAAGAATCCCTGCATTAAATACAATTATGATGTGGTGAAAATCCTATCATGAGAATGAGTGAGCTCTGGGATATGAAAGCATTGACTATGCCTGAGTTTCTTCTTCTAGGTGACTGATTTTGGCTTAGCAGTGAAGAAGCAAGGTAGGAGTGAAGCCATGCTGCAGACCACATGTGGGACTCCTATCTATATGGGTAAGTTAGTAGACTTAAACAATGATTTTTTTTGTATGTATAAAAGTTGTTATTATTGCTGGGTGCCATGGAGTTGATTTTCGACTCATAGTGACTCCATGTGACAGAGTGGAACTGCCCCATAGGGTTTTCGAGGCTGTTGGAGCCCTGGTGGTGCAGTGGTTAAGAGCTCAGCTGCTAACCAAAAGGTCAGCAGTTCGAATCCACCTTGCCACTCCTTGGAAACCCTATGGGGCAGTTCTACTTTGTCCTATAGGGTTACAGTGAGTCAGAATTGACTCAACAGCAATGCATTTAATCTTTATGGGAATAGATTGCCAGGTCTTTCTCCTGAGGAGCCACTGGGTGGGTTCAAACCGCCAGCCTTTTGGTTAGCAGCGGAGTGCTTAACTGTTGTGCTGCCAGGGCTCCTTACATATAAAAGTAGAACAACTAATATGGATTAAAACTTGAGCAATTTTATTTTGGTGTCATGACTTAATGGCTCTGATTGAGCTACTTTTTCTTTTCTTAGTTCAGATGATTTCAGTTGTTTTGGTGTTTTTCTCAGAGCTTCTATAGTCAAAGATTTTTGTAATCTTTATTGTTTCTCTGAGCTCTTCTTAAAGTTGTTTCTGTCTCTTAGTTAATCATACCAGAAGCTTAATTGTTGTTTTTGTTAATTTATGCAAAAATCATGTGTGTATTCTGTTTCTTTGCCATCAAACAATATTTCATAGAGTACTGATTATATTTTGTGAAGTAACAATTTCTAAATGTGTTTTTAACAGCTTTATTGAGGCATAATTTAAATACCATAAAAGGGTATAATTAGATGATTTTTTAGTACATTTACAAAGTTGTACAGCCATTACCACAATCCAGTTTTAGAACTTGTCCAAGTTAAAAAGTTTCCTTAAGCCCATTGGCACTCAGTCCTGTTCCCATCCCAGACCCAAGGAACCAATAATCTGCTTTTTATCTCTCTAAATTTACCTTTTCTGGACATTTTATATAAATGGAATCACATCTGATTTCTTTCACTTAGCATAATGTTTTTGAGGTGCATCCATGTTGTAGCATGTATCAGGAGTTGGTTCTTTTTTATTGTTGAATAGTTTTTATTGTAAGAATATGCCACATTTTGTTTATCCATTCACCAACTGATGGACATGTGGATTATTTTCAGTTTGAAGCTATTACGAATAATGCTGCTATGGACACTTGTGTACAAGTCTTTGTATAGACACGTTTTCATTTTTCTTGGGTAGCTACCTAGGAGTGAAATTGCTGGGTCATATGGTAAGTTTATGTTTAACTTTTTAAAGAAACTGTCAAACTATTTTCCAAAGTGACTGTAAGATTTTACCTTCCCACCAGCAATGTATGAGAGTTCTAGTTTCTTCACATCCTTATCAACAGTTGATAGTACTTATCTTTTTTATTATAGTCATTCTCATGGGTATCTCATTTTGGTTTTTAATTTTCATTTTCTTGATGGCTAATGATGTTGATTATCTTTTCATATGCTTATTAGTCATTTGTATATCTTTTTTTAAAAATTTTTTATTATTGTACTTTAGATGAAGGTTTACAGAACAAATAGTTTCTCATTAAACAGTCAGCACACATATTGTTTTATGACATTGGTTACAACTCCACGACATGTCAACACTCTCCCTTCTCGACCTTGAGGACCTTTTTTTTGGTGAAAATATACATAGCCAAAGTTACACCATTTCGAAAGTTTCTACATTTACAATTCATTGACACTGATTACATTCTTCCAGTTGTACTGCTATTCTCACGATCCTTTTCCAAATTATTCCATCACCATTATCTTCAACTCACTGTCCCCTAGGCTTCCCATCAAACCTTTTGAGTTGCTGT